ATGATAAAACAATGAAAACATACAAAAATATTGATTATTACTCAATATTATACAGAAATATAAGCAATACTCCTTAAGTGGGCGGGGCTACCCGACTCTCCCCTATATCTTTTGGTTAGGCAGAGGAAAATTCCAGTACATTTCATGAGAAAACCAACACTAATTTAAGGAAACTTTTATCGAAACTTTTATTTTATTTGGCAATATATTTCGGAGATTCTGCTTTACCCTAAGGAATAAATTTCCTTTTGCTCTTTCTCCTATCATTAATTTTAATATAGGAAATTTCATCCAACAGAAGACTTGAAAATTAAACTAGTTAATTTCCAGAAAAATCAACTTCTCGATATTTTATTCTATTTCAAAGTTATTGATTCAAAAAATCGCTGACTTTTCAAAATGCCTTCTAAAGAAAAACCAATGCGAGATACTTAAAACTGTAAAGTTTGAAAGTCACACTTTCTGTTCCTTTCATGCTGGGGCTTGGCTGATTGCCAAAGGATTGAGGAAGAGCTGAAAGTATTTGATTCAGCTTTTTCTTTCTCAATTCCATCTGTGAATATTTTTTTTTTCTTTTCATTTAAGGCTCTGATTGAAAGGAGCCAATAGAAATTGGAAACATGAACTAAAACCAAATTACAAACGAGACTAGCGTTTCAAAGAAAGGCAAAAGTGAAGTCAATATTTCTTTCTCCGTTTTAAGTCGATCGTTTTTGAGATTCCGATCCTCGAGTGGCAACATGTTTCCTTCTTTTAAATGAGATGCTGGAACTTAACTTAAAAATCATTAATGTTTTTTTATTTTGTTAAAATCGTTTTCGAAAATAAGGACTTTTGCTTATCGTAATCTAAATTTCGCAACACTGTTTCAAAGTCATTTTTACACACCCCATAATCGCAAAGAGTGTTTAAGGTTGGATAAATATTCTAAAAAAGTCTTGACGGCAACAAATCTAACTATATATGAAACTTATTTAACAAAACATGTTGATTTGATGGTGTTTCAGTAGCTTATGAGAATCATTAAAACGTTACGGCACATAATAAATATCTTTGGAAATCTTTTAATATGATCATTAATACACAAAGATATGATCATTTATATATACCTTATTTTTATGCATTTGTCTGTAATATTCATTGATCACCACTTCTTCATATTATGTTATTATCTGTGCTGTTTTCCATTTGTTACAGAATTTGACTATTATTCAATATTAAATGTTAAAACAATAAAAATTTGTTTATTTGATGTATTAGAAAGTAATTGAATATTATGCTGGAACTTAACTTAAAAATCATTAATGTTTTTCATTCTGTTAAAATCTTTTTCGAAAATAAAGACTTTTGCTTATCGTAATCTAAATTTCGCAACACTGTTTCAAAGTCATTTTTACACACCCCATAATCGCAAAGAGTGTTTAGGGTTGGATAAATATTCTAAAAAAGCCTTGACGGCAACAAATCTAACTATATATGAAACTTATTTAACAAAACATGTTGATTTGATGGTGTTTCAGTAGCTTATGAGAATCATTAAAACGTTATGGCACATAATAAATATCTTTGGAAATCTTTTAATATGATCATTAATACACAAAGATATGATCATTTATATATACCTTATTTTTATGCATTTGTCTGTAATATTCATTGATCACCACTTCTTCATATTATGTTATTATCTGTGCTGTTTTCCATTTGTTACAGAATTTGACTATTATTCAATATTAAATGTTAAAACAATAAAAATTTGTTTATTTGATGTATTAGAAAGTAATTGAATATTATGCTGGAACTTAACTTAAAAATCATTAATGTTTTTCATTCTGTTAAAATCTTTTTCGAAAATAAAGACTTTTGCTTATCGTAATCTAAATTTCGCAACACTGTTTCAAAGTCATTTTTACACACCCCATAATCGCAAAGAGTGTTTAGGGTTGGATAAATATTCTAAAAAAACCTTGACGGCAACAAATCTAACTATATATAAGACTTTATTTAACAAAACATGTTGATTTGATGTTGCTTTCGTAACTTATGAAAATCATTAAATCGTTACGGCACATAATAAATACTTTTAGAAATCTTTTAATATGATCGTTAGTACACAAAGATATGATCATTTATATATATACCTTATTTTTATGCATTTTCCTGTAATATTTATTGATGACCACTTCTTCATATTATCTTATTATCTGTGCTGTTTTTCATTTGTTACAGAATTTAACTATTATTTAATATTAAATTTTGAAAAAATAAAAATAAAAATTTGTTCATTTGATGTATTAGAAAGTAATCGAATATTATCTCTAAGCTGATCAGTGTTCCAAAAAAAAACGAAAAAAAAATAGCTGTAAAGATTCTGTAAAAACATACGAAAACTTGCAGCTTTACCTTTTTAATTATTTATAATTATTATTTTTGTTACAGAATCTTTGCCGCGAATTTCTGTTCTCAGAATAAGTTGGCTTAGTAGTGAAAAGAAGCGCCATCTATAAATTCCCCAAGTTTCATCAGGCAATCAAACTGGTTTTGAAATTATAAGCCGTGCCATCCTCCCTAGGGATTCAATAGATTTCGAAAGCGTTTTTTCCTCGCTAAAATATTTGTACACATCATGTAAAGTACAGTTTTCACTCTTTCTTTGATGATGGTTCTAAAATTTATATTAATGATGGCTATTACAGAACCGCTTTTAATATGAACAAGATATAACTTAATTTATTTTTCTACTGAATGTGACATAATTTAAATAAATTTATACAAATTACAAGCTTTTTTGCATCAAAGGGCCTCAGATAATTCTGTTTATTTTAACAAGTTTTAACTATTTTCTCATTATTGTAAAACATCATAATGCTTAATTAATTCAATCACGAAGAATTTTATACATAAATACTTTTAGTATATAATGTAGATCAAGGCTGTTAGTACCGGGAAAAAAACTGGTAGTAAAACCATTTTATTTCTAGCTTATTTGGCAATGAATCCATGGTTATCCAGATTTAGACCATTCATTTTCCTTTATATTAAAATAATATACTTTGTATCTCATTAGTTTTATATACTTCATATCTTTTAATAACTCAAGGTTCTTTATACCTCTGGACACCAAGTTTGATATAAAATGGTTTTACCATTAACTTTTTATATTTTCCGAGGCACAGGCAGATCTGGTTCTTGTCTGAACGTAATTTTGTCTCATTTGAATATAAATATACATTTTTAAAATTTTTAATGAAAATAAATTTTTAAATTGATCCAACAATTCTCGTCAAATCGTATATAGTTTAAACGTAAGTACCCTTCAGAGTTTCACCTTCTTAATATGAACAAGAATTTCATTTGTCTGCTTACTAAGATTAAGATTATGTAATATGACTCGCTTCTGCTTGGCATTCAATAGCTGGCTCTAACTCTTCTGCTGTTAAACTCTCAAATTTACCTGGAAAATTAGTTTCAGCTTGAATATGAAGTAGTGGAAGCTAGTTTTATATAAAGTGGTTCAAGGTCAGAAGGGTAAAAAGAAATCATCATTTTATACGGAAATTTTGTATGAATATGCAAACAAATTAGTGACGTTTTAAATCTGAAATAATAAACTTTAATAACGTGTGTTAATGACCATACTGAAATAAAATCGAAACGTTTTAAAGCGCCATTATCTATCACTGTTAAGTATTTGCATACACAAAAAAAAAAATACAAATATCGACGTTATAAGAGAGAGTCTTATTTAATGCATTTTCCTTGTTAGTTCGAAATTATTTCTAAATCGGAAAATATTGATCTCGAAGCATATATTTATGCAGATATATAATAACTACTTTAGACAACACACTCACAATTACAGGAAAATTTGCTTAGACAAGGGTGAAAATAAATTTTATATTGGGAGACAAGGGTTCAAATAGGACAATTATTGCAACGTGGGCAGAGGGATAAGAAAAAATGACATCCCAAATCCTGAATAACGTTGTTCGAATGTTCGGAACGTTACTATCCAAAATCAATTTTGATGGTTCAATAGTTTAATTCTAATTTGATAATTAATTTATGCGAACTGCTTATTAGGTTGCAGAAGTAAACACAAAACGTTTTTTCCATGAAGTTGCACTTTTTTCCGACAGATTTCAAAAACGAAATTATTATAAATTTCAAAAATAATGTATTTTTAAATATTTCTCAAGAACTATTCAATCAAATTCGTTCGAATTTTGCACTTTTTATTTAAGTTTACAGTTTTAATTTATTTAAACATCTGCTAATCTTATAATTCAAATTTTATCAGCCAGTATTATCAGCCAATCCACAAAGCGGAAAATTTACATTAAAGGGATCCATTCCTGATTTAACAATTAAACCATATTTTTCAGATTGATTTCTCTCTCTGATAATTTGATGGTGCAGTCAAGAATGCAATCCCACCAAATATATATATGATTCGAGAAAGTACGTTTTGGTGTCTGATTCTGCATTTTAATTAATAGTTCTCACTAAGCAGTTGGCATAATTCATGTCAACATTTTAAACCCTTATTGACACGTAGTGCGTAAAAATCTGACTATTCGAACAAAAGTTATTCAAGGTGATATTTCTCTTTGGATCACTGAATATTAATTAAAATCAGAGTAACTCATTTGATACACTCTAAGCTCCTTCAAAACTCACCTGCATAAATTAAAATCTAAATTTTCTCCTATTCGAGTTTTAGTTAGTATTTTTGTCCGTATATACAATAAAATTTAATAAGAACTTACAAGTTGTCATGTGTTTTTAAGTTATTTTTTCTTCTATTGTTTACACATTAAGTTTTTTTTAAAAAAAAATCAAATAATTTGACTAATAATAACTAATTCGTGATTATCTTTCTTTAATTTGTAGTAGTCCTCAATTTCCCTTAAAGGACTTGATTAAAAAAATTTTTTTTACTGAATTTCCAACATTAAAATAAAACGATTATTCCTTTGTATTCTTCCTTTTTTTTCTTCTAGTAAAGATTTGTTTGGGATTTATCCTTGGAGATTTAACCAGAAATTGATGACACTACTTTGACTTAACCGTGAATTGGGACTGTCGGACAGGAAGCTTCACACAGAAAGTAAAATAAATTACCTTGGTGCCTAAGGGACTGATTCTACAATTCATCTAATAGAAACCTAAGCACTGTTTGTAACTATGAATCGTTACTCTTGTAGAATGCATTAATGACTATATCTTCATTTAACTGTTTTTGTTTGATGCATGTAAAATGTAAAGTGATTGAAGATACGTTTCATTCTATGTTTTTATGTCTTTTTTACTTAGGCCACTGTGTATTTAAAGAAATCCTTGAATTACATTAACATAAATGTTGCATTGCTATTATTATTTTTTCTTTTTTTTGAAAAATTATATTTTTTTAAACCAAACACGTGTATGATTAAGAATGTTAAGCTTCTTCTTGAAGATATCTAAAAATGTAATATTTTACATTTAAAATAATATTAATATTATATGTAATATTATTATATACATGTATGCAAATGTAATATTATGACATTTACCAATGTTATTCTGTTCAATTTGAAAACGCCCCGCAGTGAACTGATCGTTAAGACACGGTTCCCAGCAGATCGCCGAAGTCAAGCATCACTGGCTACGGTCAGTGTGCGGGTGGGTGACCCATTTGGATCAGTCTGCGTAGGGACCGAGTTTGTGCGGTATTGGTCCTCGTTAAACTGTTCTACCGTAAAGTGCTCGACTTCACGTGAAAGTCGTTGGGCTACCGAAGCGGGGGTGCTATCCCCTCCGCAGAGGATCAAAATTGTGATGGCATGTCTTCGGATTATCCTCCGGGATGTTTCGCAGACCGTCGCCAATAGCCCAATGTGCAGCTCGTAAATTAACAACAATAACAATAATAACAATCAATTTGAAAACATCAAATATATTTCCTTGCTCATCAAACTTTCTATTTGTGTAATTCTATCTAGTTATTGCGGATCAATTTTTTTTAAAAGGTAGGAAAAACAAAATCGGTAAACTTATCAAAACTTAAACAAAATCGGTCAACACTTATTCAGTCATTGTATAAGTAAAGAACATTGCTGATGATATTTTCCTTTTCATTAATTTCACCTTCCACCTTACCAAATTCTAACATGTGCATTTTAAACTAACCGTACAAGTATGACGTATAAAATAGGCGAAATAATATAATCATAGAACTTTTGACCACCGATTATTTGGTTATTGGTTATTGCAATTACGTAAAATTTCAGGCTTGTGTGCTTAAAATAGGCTTATAAACCTTCGTCAAGGAGAAGAGGACAGATAGCACAATAGGAGAGACAGCACCAAGTAGTACCGCCCCTATCCCGATTATTTGTTTTTCATCAAACAAACTTGAGACTATGCTTTATTTGAATTTATTAACTTCTAGGATGCTATTATATTACGACGTGATTGCATTACAAAGTCATTTCATAAATTTTTCAGCTTATTAACTTAATTAAATATATTTTTGGAAGGACTCGTCAATTAAAATGACTTTGTAGGTAGAAGATTGGAAAGCACAAACCTAGAGGTCCAGCAAGAAACGAACCCCCTACACTTCAGAGTCAATGGACAAAGAACAATATCAACCACTTTGAATATATATATATATATAAATNTATATATATATATATATATATATATATGTTGAAGTTTATCATTGATTTCGAAGCACGAACCAGTGACCTTCAATGACGCAAACTAAGAGCTTAGTCCCTCGGCTACTCCATTCTAACAATAAAAATAATCCAATTTTGTCTTCAGTTTGTTACCTGACATCAGAATCGATGCGTACACAAAGCAGGATGTCAATTACTGAGCATTCTCTGTTACTTCGTATTCGTAAGTTAGCTAGTTGCTTTTAATCATATCATCGATATATTTTTCCTAATTTACTTACATCCTAATCTTTGGAGGAAATGCATAAAATAGCTTTCAGATTAATTCATGTAGATGTAATCTATATAACGTATTCAGACGAAAATCAACTTGTACAGTTTTAGACATCGATTTCTGAAATCAGTTGCTTTTCTAGAGTTGATGATAGCCTTACATAGGAGCAAAAATTGTAACAATAGGGTACGAACATGTTTTTGCCCACGCTTATAAAAAAGACAACTGAATCTGAACGATTTTTATTTCTGAGAAGAAGTGCACTTTCCATTTATCTTTTATTACTACTTTTTAGAGTCCCAGTCACGTTTGTGTTTCTTTTAGTAAAGGTAGAACGAATTTCCTGCGTTGACGTTTTTTGACAAGTAAACAATATATGATATGTAAGCATTTTAAAAGAAATTTTTTCGGTACGTTTCTTGCACAAAAACACATTTTTTACTAACGCATTACTTGATGCAATTTATTTCGAAATTAGAAAAAAAAGCATTGGCAGCCATGAAAGTAAATATTTTTAACAATGCAACTAATAATGTTCACAACTTCGTTAACATTAAAAGTTTTTTATCTTCGTACATATTTTTTCCGTAAAATTTATTCACAGACTTTTCAAATTGCATGGAAGTCATAACGTTACATAAGCATTACATATTTTCCTTAATAATGTTAAATTTTTGTATTATTTTTATTCTATTTTCATACATTAGAATGTTTCACTAAATAAAGTACGATTTCGTGAAAAACTAAGCTCTAATTATCCCACTATTTCTCTAGTCTACACAAAATTACTTCACTATTTCTGATAGTTTTAAAAAACGCATAGTTTTTATGCTTTAACAGACTTGAAAATTCACTTTTCATTAAGACTATTACCCGAGGCTCTTAAAAAAAACATATTTTACTTTGAAGTTCTTTTTGCTACCACCAGCTACATTTTATAAAACGATTTGCGGTTTCATAGAAGAAGTGTTTTTTTTAATACATTTACTTTGAGAAAAAATATTAATCATAGGAATTATTTTTTATGCTTTTTTCCTTGAAATATATGTTAGGCACAAAGTACATAAGAAATGTTTTAAACATCCTAAGCTAAGTGAGCATAAAAGTGCTATTTAATGAAAAAGTGATCTTTAAATGTAGAGTCGCGTGTTTTGCATACAGTAAGAAATTCTGTTCTAAGGATTGAAAAAAATTCTTCACGTAAGTTAATTATTTTTTATCTTTTAAGGAAAAAAAGGAATTCAACTTTTCTTACAGCACCTGATAAAACCAGATTATTACATTGGAAATTTTGAAACCATTTAAAGTGCTAGAAAGTTTAATTTATTCAGAAAGTGATTAAGATATTTTATTTCACAGTACCATAAAATAGGATTAAAGAAATGTGTCAATCTAATGTACAGATCTGGAACATCTCGAACTTCAAACAGGTATTTTCAGAAGCATAGGCCTGTGCATGCACTCAAGATCTTCTCTTCTACTGGTAAACACAGGTTAAAAGAAAGCAGTTTTACCCTAGTTATTTTTATTCGTTATCTTCCCCTATTCCTTGTTTACAAAATGTTTTTATTCTGGTAAATGGACATGGCTGTGATTTCTAATTACAAAAAAAGCAGTCTTTGCTTCAGAAATTATTTTATCTCAAGAAAATAACCTTTAACGTGTTTAGATATTAGAGGTACATAAAGAAGCGCATTGAATAAGATATGACAAGTAGACTCAAATTTAAACAAATTACATAAAGTTCGAAGATTCTGTGGAAAACTGAGTTCGTATTGACTATGCCTTTTTCTAAGAGAAAAAAAAACTACATTCTACACAACTTGTAATGCACCAAATGCTTTTAAATATTCGCTGATGCGATGTTTGAAATTTATATTAAGCACTCACAGTTACTTTAATCTTTCGCAATCTTTTATTTATTTATTTTCTGGTATCCCCCCTTCAAGCAAACATACTACCTTACATAAAAAACCTGGTATTTCTTTAAAAGTGTCGTTTAAACAAGTGATTTCTCTACAAAATCAAGTTGTGAACAAAAACTTTCTATGTGTGCTTAGAGTGATGGAGGTATCAATGGCTCTTCTGCCATCAAAGGAATTTATCAAACTAGAAAACACACTTCTAAATCTGTTCCATTCTTACTTGATAAATATGCCAAATGGAGCTTTTGCATTATAATTACTTGAAAGTTTGCCTCTTTCACGAAAATGTGGAACTTGTGATCCCATTGGTCCGCTGTGATATTGTTTCTTACACGTCAGACTAAGTTTATAGCATCATTTGATCAGCTTACATAGATTACATAAAATCTCAGCACATTGGTCCACATCTAATTTTTGTATTAAAACTGAAACTTTATATATTTAACTGTGAAGAGAAAATTATTTAAATTATTATATTTCAGCTTTTGCTTAGAAAACTACGTTCAACTATGTTCATCGATGCTTCTTTATTCAGAGTTTTTAAATATGTTTGAATTATAACGGCATTCCTCAGGTATAATATTTAATAACTGTAACTATGCTTTGATGCACATCTACAGAGCTGTTTTCAAGGGGGAAACAAAAAATTTACAATTTTCTGTACAGAAGGCGCAAATCTTTTTAAATCAACCACAGAAGTTGTGCAAAAGAGCAAAAGGTTTGTGTAACTTAGGGTGCGAGATAGCTATAATTCGGATTTCCCATCATTTTGCAAAGGTAGATTACAAGGTTGTTGGCTTGTTAACAACCAGAGCTGTAATAAACCAGATCGCAAATTATATATTTCTCCATATTTAATTCAGCCATCTCAATAAACTTTATCATCATCGTGTATTTGAAATTATTTTAAGCAAATTGAGTTTTGACTATACAAATGTGACACACTATCGAACCTTTTATTAAATGAATTATTGTAAACATTTATTTGTCCCCTCTACAATCTCAACCTATAATTTATGAATTTTCGACTTTGAAAAATATTCTGCTTTAGTGCTTTATTCTATTTTAATACTTAAGACGGCGCACAATAGTTGCGATTACTCAACCGGATCATTAAGGTAGATAGAGGTCTGACAACCATGAAGTGCTTAAAAGTTATCTATAAGTTTCCGGTTAAATTTATATTTCAAAATCATTTGATTATGTTGTTTTGATTACATTGCTGAAGTTTGGTGTGGTAAAACTAAATTCAGTTTCTGAGTCATTAAGTTCTGCCCTTCATCTAGAGTCAGATAGTCATGTTTATAAAAACCATATATTGTATTTTCAAGCCACAGTATTTTGAACAATATGTTAAATTCTAACTATGAACTTATTGTATTGCTTTTGAGCCACTTGCACAATTCGAGTTTTAAACACGGTAAGA